CTAGGGTGTTTCTAATTGGTTTATCACCTCCAAAAAGTAATTTAGCCAATGACTAACGAAGTGCGATAACACTCGCTTAACACTGCGGCACAATGAAGACTGCAAATTGAAAGCTTGCAAATTGGGTTTTCGCCATTTTAATTACTTATCTACGGCAACGGGTGAGAGTTGCGTAGCTGGACAGCAGGGCGTATGCGCAATGTCGCTTTAAGTTTGCGCTGATTTTAAAGTATTCAAATCATGCGATAACCATGACTGGGGACTTGATGTGCGTTTTGTTGTTTTAATCCCAAGGCGACCTCAACATTTTGCAAGTTTCAAACTCGCCCAGCCGGGCCGAGCGACAAACTGCAATTTTATTTGTGCCGCTGATTTAGGGCGTGCCCGATGGCCGCTTGCTGGGGGCCTGGAGGTCGGTTTTGCAATTATAGGCGTGTGCCACTAGACTCTCACCGCATAAATACTACACAGGGCATAAAAATCAGAGTTAATTGCACAGTTTGTTACTTTGTTGCACAGGGTCGCGGCTTTTATGACCATGTTTTTAAGTCCTTGTAGAGCGCTGTATAATGTTGTCAGCAAAAGAAGTAACGCACAGAAGGCTTGGTCTTGATCAGTATGCCCGGGCGTGTCAATGACCGCTTGTCCTTCTGCCTCGGAAGTCCTTACGTCTGTTGCAGGTAGAACATATGTTGGAATCGCTAAATCCACATTATCATAGAGTTTAATAGAAAGAAATGGCCAAGAGTTATGTACCATGTGTTTTTTTAGACAAGCAAGTGCCTATCAACATCGGCTTACTGTGCCATGTAACACTTTGGCAAAAGTTTAACCGATAATTATATGAAAACTAGTTCAAATTAGCGACGACATTCTCGTTTTTATACAACCGATAAAAACCTATATCGAAATTTTTGTTGAGCAAAGCTCGGACCTTTTGAGATCCACAAACATCACATCTTGTATATAGACTCTTGTAGAGTATGTAGACTTTTGATACATAGATTAAGAATATTTCACTTTTGGGATGCGTCCTCGACATTCACTAGGTGTATAGCCTATGGCTTTGATATTTAGACACACTGCTTGATTGATGCCTTATTTAGGCCCTGCGAACTTCAAAAAGATTGGAAAATAAGCTCCGAGTATCAAGCACGAACCCACTACGCAAAGGGAAGTATAAGCACAGCCGCAGCAAACTTCTAGCTTAGGGTACCTTCTAGTCGGACCTCGAGACAACAGCACTCTTAATTGTTTCATTTTTTTTATATTTCTAGTAGAGTTCGGCACTTGCCCTTCATGCGTTGCATACTTTGCAGCGCTCCTGCTGCGCATCTGTGCCCTGTTGCACTATGGATGCACCATTTTGCGTTCACGATTTTCTGTTTGTGTTGTCAATTAAAAAGACTTTTATCTGCAACATTGTTTAGCGAGTCTGTACGGTTGAGCGGGACGCATTGAAGCTTAGATTTGCAGCTCGTCTTTCGAAACTCGCTGTTTGCAGCGATTGGCGCAGTTGGTCCTGCGGTTTAATGGGTGTCCATGTGTGGGCGTAGCTGGCACTTAAATACTAACATATACATGCGCTTAGTTTAGTTTAGTTAACTTTTATGCGCTTATGTTTGGCTTTAATTTGTAGAGCGTTTTAAAGTCTAGTCTTCAACAATACGGTGAAGAGCATACAAATTTGTGACGCTGGACAAAAAAATATAATAAAACTGATATACAATAATTGTATTTGATTGATTGCGGCGAGACTTAATCTGAGTTAAACTATCAAAGCGAGCCAATTTATACGCATTGCAAGTTAATTTAAATTAACTAACTAATAAATATAAAACAGGTCTAAAGCTGCTCAATACTTATTCAATTTAAAGTAATTAAGCTTTGGTTCGATGCTCAGAGCTATATAAAGGCATTGTTATATAAAATAGTATTTGCTAACTCAATTAAATTTGGATGCTGGTAATAAAATCTATTTGTTCCGGCAACATGCGTGCATAATTAAATTTGAATTTTTAATTGAATTTACGCATTTATTATGTTGCCATTTATACTAATTGTGGGAAATGAACAAAAATGCTGGTAGCATTGAAATAAACTGACAACAAAGTGTATATTTAAAGGGCAACCTAATTTTTATGCAGAGTTCGCGTAAAATAAGCAATGGAAAAATGTGAAATTCCCTCGCTGAAAATGTGGGCCATTAGGCTTTGAACTACTTAGTTTACGCTGAATCTGCTGTTACTGTTCATTTCGGCTTTTTTTGCGGCAGGAAATGAGTAAGAAGGTATGTTTAATGGGCTATATTTGTGTGGTTGATGAACCACATAGAAATGCGAACCTATAATGCGAGTAAATAAGAGATTGTTTCTTTCACCAATCTATTAAATAAATTCATTCCGTGCTTCATTCTTAATTTCTGTTTTTGTAATATAAAGAAATTCCCTCTTTCAGTTATATATTTTTTGCAGGCTTTAAGCAAATCGATCAAACCTTTAAGACTTACGCTTTCAGTTGAAATGAAGTTTTTTAAATGCTTATAACAACTTCCAACAAATTCTACAGTGTTTAGAGACTTTCTTTCGAGCATTTGCTGCTGCATTTGATGTGCATTTGCATTTTTTTAATAACTCTTCTGCATGCAGGTTCGCACTCACCCCTCTATTCAAAATTACCATAAGCCGGACTGAGCACAGCTGGTGGCGCCAAAAGCGGCCCATAAAAAACAGACAGCTGCCAGGCGAAGCAACATTTTTGTTTATGATTGTGCAGCACTTTTATGTTAAATCTACAAAAAGAGAAAAGCTCAAAGACAACAACGAACAGCAAACAACTAAACGTGACACCTATCGCCTGGAGGCAACGACGACAATGGCATCGGCATCGGCATCGGCATCGGCATCGGCCACGGCACGTGCCAAGCTGTGAAACTATCTGAAATATGTGCATTTTTCGCAGCTTCTCTGGGAATGCACGTTTGCATTTCAGTGCCGTGAAATGTAGCTACGGCCTCGACTGTCCTGTCCTGTCCCGTCCTGTCTTGTCTTGTCATGTCCTGATCTGAGTGATTTAAATGCACTGGCAACTAACGGTCATTTGCATGCATACGAATCAGAAATTATGACGCAATATTGTTGCTCAATTCTGATTACAGCACATTGCAGATCCATTACCATCCTCATGCCCATGTCCATGTCCATGTCGATGTCCATAGCCATTTTCATCAGCTTGAATGTCTCATTGGGTGATTTGCATGGAAATGAGATGCGATTCAGCTTTGCCTTTTTGTCTGTCTGTTTTGTTTGCGTTGGCTTTTCCAGATGCTATTTATCTGGCAGCTTTTGGCTTTTGTCTAAGCTGCATATTTGATGCATCTCCATTTCGCACTCTCACTGCCCCTCACAGCTCATTTAAAATCCATAGCTCAGCTGTTGCTAACCACTCGTTCTTGTCAGCAATTCTGTCTCAATTTGTCCACATATTTTGCCAACTCTAAGCTTTTATTAATAACTTATGATTTTCAACAAGTTTGCAAGTTTCGTCAATGGATTATTCAAAATGTGTGCGCATAAAGTAAAGCAAACAGTAACGTCAAGAATATATTTTTGAAATTGTTTATATGAGAGCTATGTATATGCATGCTTACAAAGAAACTGATTCGATCTGTGTTCACAAGAGCCGTTTTAATTAATATACCAATTGATTCATTTACTGTAAGTGTAAGTGTGTATTCCACAAGGGCATTTTAAGTTTGCGACAATTAGAATTCGAGCTTTGACTTTCTTATAAATTCTGTAATAAATTTTGTGCACTTTGGCATACATTTAAAATTAAGTGCAAATAGTTGTTGCACCAATAACCACAACCACAAATTCTCTTACATTTGCCATAGAAAGTAATTTCATACTGTTGCTGACTTTTATCAAGCAATTTTGTTCAATCATATTTGGGTTAAGTCTCTCCTACCCGCACGCCCTTTGGTTTCAGCCTTAGCCTTAGTCTGGTTGCCATTTTCGTGCCGGACTTGCATCTGTCCTTTGAAGAACTTTTCATTAGAAAATTGTAATATTCAGAAAGCAAAATGCCTGGCGGTCAGCCAGGGTAAGCAACTGCATTCATTTTTGAGCTGTAACAAGTTGGTTACAAGCTCTAGTTAATTAACGCACGAAGGTAATTTGCATCACATGATGCGAAAGTTATTACCGCACAACTAAGAGATTTACCAATTTCGCAATTACTTTATTTTAATTATAAAATATTCAACTACCAGGTATTTCAAGCTAATCTTCTAATATCACCTTACTTAATAAGCCTAGTGTAAGCCTTTGTTTTACGCTTTTGGAGTGATTGACGAACAAAATTTGTCAAATTGTAATATGCAATAACTCTTTAATCAAAGATTGTATGCGTGCACATTTATTAGTCCTTTTATTCATTTTGCCTGGAAGTGTTTTTTGATTTATAATTATCATTTATAAAGAAAGGAAAATAAACTAAATATTTTCCTCTCATATGAATATTTACATATATCAAAGAAAAAGTGTTTAGTGCGGATGGCATGGAAAACATGAGAATATTGTATGAGTTTTTGCGCATTTTTCGACCTTGAGGTGAACTGCCAGAAATAACGAAATCAAAATCACTTTTTACAAAGATCTCGGAAGATTAATTTTAGTACGATTGGATATACGAAAAAGTTGCCTATGACCATTTTCCGCTAGTTGGTCTTACGATTTGCTTAATTAACATATTCACTTAATTTTATAGAAATGTATAGCATACTTTTTGGGGCAGAATAAAAGGGGACAACCAACTTTTACTTTATCTTCAGAAGATCGGTTAAATTTTGCTTTTGTGCTTTGTATTTAATTGTAGATATTCTCTGCTCAGATATAGCCACAATTTTGGGCTCAAAACTAAGATTTTCAAACGGAAAAGGAGGCTATAATAAATATTCTATATACATAAGTATTCTATATACATATACATATACATACTTTCATCCGCGGGCATGGCCAGAAAACGACGCTCTTGTTGTAATCGTGAGCAAGTTGGTCGGCCAGCTGATGACAGTGGGTCAAGCTGCGGGTAGTTGAGTGTTTCTCCTGCGGCTCGTCCTTGCGCTGTTGTTTTTGATGTTTCCTCTGTTGGCTCTCCGGTGTAGATGCTGATAAAGAGTCTGCTGACAACTGTTTCGTTTGGGCTCGCTGCTGACGCGACTGCTTTGTTGGGTCAACTCCACCATCATCAAGGTCCACGTCGGTGTCTACATTAATGCCCGCATTTAAAGTCTTTACAATGCTCGTGTATTTGGGTAGCTCGAGTAATTTAATGAAGCCACTTAAATCTGTGCTTCAGCAGCGCCATCATCGGGGTGAAGAAAGAACCAGACGAAAGAAACAGAAACATTTTATATAGCATATAAAAACGGTTGCATATTTAAGCCAGTTGTGTGTGTGTGTGTGTGTGTGTGTGTGTATGTGAGTTCGTGTTGGTGTGTGTGTGTGTGAGCTTGTACTCAAGAAGTGTAGTAAATGTATTTGCTGATGAAGGCAGTGGACTTAAAGTATGTATACAACGCATGTCTGCAGCTCTTTCGGAGTGATTTTAAGGCTTTCCACAGTGCCTGCTAACTGTAGCTGGCAACTGATGTGAGTTGATATAACTGCCAAAATGTACATGTTGCTACATAGTTTTATAAAATGCATGTGCTTGAAACCTATATGCAGCTGCTTTATGGTGATGACACTTGAAAGTCTAGTTGAGCTGCCTTTTATCATAAAGGAATCATTTTATTTCCATTTAAGTTCATTAGCATTTGGGAAAGGGAATTTATATTATTTAACACATTTTAATAGTCAGAATTGTCAAAACTACTTAGCTCGATGTCAAGCAATAAATTAAGTCTAACCCCACATTCCTTCATTCTGCAAATTAATTTTATTTCGTTATAGAATATTCAGTTATTTTCTTATTTTCTTATTTAGTCCTTTAATCCATTAGGAAATAACTTTGCTCTCAATGCAGTAGCTTTCCACTCCACTCCAGCATAGCTACACTGAAATAAGCTGCGCATATACATGTTTTCCATACGCATACCGCGTATGCGTTAGAAACTGGTAGTCTGAACTAACGCTAATGTATGTTACAGGCAGTTGAAGACATCCTCGACCCCATATCTATCCTATCCATATTTTCTCTAGATCGGTATATATTTTTCATTTGTATACCACAAAAAAGTAAGAGTGTGCCGTTCAGAATTATGATCAGGGTATCATCTATCTACGAGAAGTCTTGACTTTTGCAATTTTACTAATTTTCCTTGCAAGTTCTTATAAAATCTATTCAATTGCTGGTAAATGATAAAGCAGAGTTAACTAAGTCAGGCAAGTATACTAAGTTTATTTTTTCCCCGGCACAGTATCCAGCTTTTAATTTGTCGTCTTTCCTGCTCTGGAGGCGATCCAGGGAAATACAATTTATACATTTGTCCGGCCTTTTGTGCCACCACAAATGCTGAGAGTCCTGGCCAAGCCGCGTGGGCATAAACTATGAATTTACTGGGCAAGTCAGGGAAATGCAGGACAATAGGTTTTTCTCTTGCTGTGCTCATGCGGCCAGGTCGTAAATTGCGGCAAATGGAAGGGGAGAAACTAACTGCAACATATGCAACAAAATTCAATTTCAATATTTTTCAGCATAAAAACATGGCAGACTGCAGAAAGAAATTACGGAAAATAGAATTTATTTTGCATGTGGACAACAAAACTAAGATGAGAAAGGAATAGATTAGAAGGGCAGCGTTACGAGCTCAGTTTGGAAATAGAGTTTCTTTGTTGTGTGCTAAAATTAATTACTGCGTTTCAACAGAATTTATATGATTCGAATCTTGAACGAACAGGTAAAACATTAAATTTTCTGCAAATGCTAGCATTTATGGTAACAAACGATATATAGTTTATATTAAAGTAATCAAATTTAAGCATCGACCTGACAAAGAAATATTGTGGCAATCGGCAAGTTCTCTTACAGCCAACTAAAAGGTTCGTCTCCCCCATGTCTTGTCCTCCATGTTTACTTTGAAACTAACTTCGGAAAAAAGCAAACTGAAAGAATAAAACAAGAAGTCGAACTGGCAAACAGATTCACAACCGACGACTAAGCGAAAACTGCGATGGACCAAGTTACTGGCCCACTGGCCACTGGCCGTCTTGGATTGGGCGTGTCCCCTTCTGGCAAAACTGAAGCTTATCGCGATTTGTGGTTATTCATTAGCAGAAATAATCATTATGGCAAACATAAGTGCGCATAAGTAATCAATTTGGCTAACAAGAGTTGCTAAACTGCAGATGTTTCAAGCTTAACTTTAAAGATTAGTCTCAATCGAAATAACTAATATTGGAAAAATGAATAGAACATACAAATTATTGTTAAATAAAATTTAAAGAGTGAATGAAATATTTTAAAAGATACACCATTGCAAATTATTGTAAATTTACTCCACAATTGTGATCATGTACGCTTTTTTTTTCAAATATAATGGATGTTTTTCACGTAGATTATCATTAATAATTATATTGTCAAAGATAACTAGGTATTAATTATAGTAAATATAACTGTACAATGTTGCGAATGTTTGCCTTTTTAAAGTTAAATCTTGTTACAAGTTCCTTTTTATTTCTCTTTTATCATCTTATACTCTGAATCTTTCACATGCCAAAGTAGGCATTCACTTTACAACGTACAATACAGTATATATTCTTGATTAGCCTTAACAGACGAAAATAAATTGCCGTGAAATTGTAAAAAAACGATTTTATATCTATTTTTTACCATATAACGGAGCTTAAACGTCACGCCTAGTGTACACAGACCTAGCTTCCCTTGTTATATTTTTTTGAGGTTTACACTTAGACTAGGGAACATGCCCCGAAAATGTCATAAAGTTTGGACAACAAACACTGCAGTTATTTAAAAATGCATTTCCCATTTCCCATGCGGCAAAGGACAAAAGAAGCACAGTCGCAGTAAAAAGTGCGCAACTTGTGGCGTACAGGTTTGTGTGTGCGTGTGTTTGTTGATCTATGTTTTTGGGAATAAGTTTTTTTTCCAGAGAATCTCAAACTTAGTTTAACAAAAAACGTTATTTATCGTATGTGGAAAATGGATGAAGCTCTTGCTTGAAAATCCTTACTTTTTTATCCGATCTGCCTGAAACGAATTTTTTATGGTCTATGCAAAATTTTATTGAAAGCGTGATTCAATAATGTCCTAGAAATGGCATGGCATGGGTTGACATAACTTGATGTAGCAAAGGGGGATGGATACAAGTGTTCTTATGCCTTGTGGTAAACTGCCTTGTATAAAGTATACATATTCATGATCAGGAAGACGAGCTTAGTTGGCCTAGTCAGGTCCATCTTCCCGTGTTAATGAAATGTGAAATATATATTTTCGTATCTCATACTTAGCACGACACAAATATCGATTTTGAGAATTTGTTAAGAATATATCACAGTTCCAATACCTCACCCACTCCGTTCATTTCCCCTTACATCTTTGGTTGACACACATATGTGCTTATTAAGTTATTCCAGAAAGCATTTCACAAATATGTGGCTAAGGGAGGGAGAAACACTGCGCAGCCAGCAGCGTGTGTTTGCATGTGCGTTTTTCTTGATGTTGCTAAAATATTTGGTCAGGGTATCTCTTAGTCATGCGCTCCCGATCAGAGCTCGGTTAGTATTTTTCTTGCTACCGGAAAAAGACAATTTTCAGGACAATCACCGAAAACCCAACCGCATCGCTTCCCTCCTCCAGGCTGTATTGATGGAAAATAAAAGTAAAATAAATTTAATAAGAAACATCACAGTTTGTGCAAGCAAAATTCTTATTGACAAGCATTAATGATTTCTTATTTAGCGATTATTATTTTCCGACAAGGGAAAAGAGGTCCATTACTTGATGTACGGCTTGAACTATTTTATGTGTATTTACCAGTTTTTTAAGTAAATGTATTTAAAAGGGCGCTTGAAGGGCGACAAAAATTCAACGAATTTTATTACAAAACACACTTCGAATATTTCTGATTGCATCAATCATCCAATTAGGGATTTATATTAATCAATTCCATTAGGAGTAGCCAGTTGCAAGTATAATATATAACATGAGATCACGAAATTCTGTTTGTCACTCTGGACTTTGATATCACAACTCACATACGAAATATGCAAACCAGGTCAGAATATTAAAAAATATGTATGTAAATCAAATTTTATACAAACGTGTGTTCTAATGTTTGCGCCATGTTTGGCACACTGTCCTGCTTGTAAATAAATTTCAAGCAGCTGACTACACAAGTTACATAAAATTTTCAACCAGTTCTAGCCAAGTTCCTTTCCATTAAATGTGGTCACCATGAACGGACTTCGTTATTCATTAAACCACAATCGCTTGACTTCTGTCGAAAATGTTCTAAGAAATACTTGAGAAGTTATTGGAATAAAACTTGACAAATGACCACCTGCGAACTTAAAAATAGTTGGATTCACTTTTTATGAGTGGAAGAAAGAACGATTTCTTTTGGTATGACGAAGATTAAATATTCTTGTTGACATAAGGATTAGAAGAACTTTTATAAAAATACTTTATCTCCGATCCAGCAGAGTAGACTCAAGCACATCATTTTCGACCTTGTTGTTTGATAAAGTGCTTGATTCAGCCGATTGCAGGAAATACCAACCTATGCTAAGTTGCATAACATTGGCCTAAAGATGGGGAGACAAGGCTATATCGGCTCGGATCGAATATATATACTTTATGTAGGAGGTTGAAGGCGTCTGCCTTTATGCGTTACATATTTCGTGTTAGGCTTATAAAAGCCACTGCTAAGGTATAATAAAATACTCATAAGTCAGTTGCAGTCATAAAGTTTTCAAGCGGAAATTGTAAGCTGTCACTTGCCGGGAAAAAATATTTGTGACATCAATGGTCGGCAGGGAGCCCAGGATGCAGGCGAGTATTTATCGTGACATGCGTGCCTGTAATTGAAGGCAATGTAATTAAAGTTGTAAGCACACAGGAAAACATTGAATGCCAGCAAAGTACGCAGCATCTTTGTTGCGCTATAAGACGCAGGACGTGGCCAGAAACTTGCTCGCTGCGCCTTAATTAGTTTAAATAGCATAAAAAAATAATAATTTTTTCATCTTTTTTTCGTTTTGCAGTAGAGCAAAAGTCTGCGCATAATGCATGCAAATTGAGTTTGCACTGGGAACAATTTCTCACAGCCATGAAAGCAAGGCAGAGGGCAGAGGGAACTGTGCTTGGATCTAGTCTTGGTGCTCTTGGCTTATTGTATCTGATGAGTCGTAATATATGTTCCTTTTACTTTGTTTAACTGTTTTGAGAAAACTCGTGACATTTACAACAAAAAATGTGCTTGCACTTTAAGTAAGAGCACGTAGCTGTATGCAACTAAGTAGTATTCTGTTTGGAGTTTTTTAAGCTTAGCTTTAACAGAAATTAAAAAGAAATTTATGGATATTGATCGAAGAGAAACTGTTTTTAAGAAGTATTTATTTCTATGATTGAGTTGGAATGTCTGAATTAAGAACAGATTTGTAAGGCTGTATGACTGAGCGGTTGAGATCAACTGCCCTTTATGTCCATGGTGTTACCTGGCTCAATTAAATAGAATCTGTCAATAAATTTATAAAGAAAGTGTAAATTGCGAGCCAAGGCTAATAAGGCCTCATCAGGGTAAGGTAAGTTACAACAAGTTGACAGAGAGGTCGAGAGGCTTAAATGAAGACATTCTGTCGGCAAATATATGTTTATACTCCCTCATAAAGTATGAATAATATATTGGTTTTGTACACTGTCCGTTTGTATGAACGGACAGACTTGAAAATTTGAATTTTAACTCTTGAATACCAGCATCAGAAGAAGTGTGTAGTTTATATGATTTCATATATGAATGGTATTCTGACAGAATCAGGGCCTTCAAAGTTGAACGTTCAGAAACCACTTGTTTTCTTTTCAATTGGGTTAAATGGATCCAAAATATATAAAAGCCTTAAATATCTCCCAACATTTATTGCAGTTAGTTGCATATATTATTACTTTTTCGATCAACTTTTTAAAGGCTTTTAAAGTCCCTTCATCGATGGCGAATTGGTTTTGATTTTCAGGAGCAACTAGAACCACAAGAACCAGACAAACAAACCAAACGAGGAAAAGCTGCAGTAAAAACAATATAAATCTGTGCGGGTGTAGGTGGTCGTATGTGTGTGTGTGTGTGTGTGTGTGTGTGCTGTGTGTAAGGCTTGGTTTGCTAGTTGTGGTTGTTTACTCACCGACATCACGTAGAAAATCGACGTTGGCATCAGATAAATGCACTTGAAAAAACTCAACGAAATGCTGAAAGCCCTGTTGCACTTGCATCATATCAACGTCGAATGATGAAGGTATTAAAACTGCGACACGCTGAGCCGCTAAAGCTGCAGTGGTTGCTTGTTGCTGTTGTTGTTGTTTTCCGCGGCGTTGACGTTGTTGCCCCTGTTGCCCCTGTTGCCCCTGTTGCTTATGTATGCCGGACATTTGCTTTTGACGTGCCTGACGATCAAGTTCGAGCGCATTACGTTGTTGTTCTTGTTCTTGTTCCAGTTGTAGTTGTCTCTGCTGCCCTGCTGTTGTTTTAGTTGTTGCTGTTGTTGTAGTTGTTGCTGTTGCTGTGACCAAAATTGAATTGCTGCTAAGCGTTATTGCTGCTGCTGCTGCTGCTGTCGTCGGTGTTGACGTTGCCGCGGTTGTTGCAATCGCATTGGACGCTGTCTTGGACACAATGTCAGCTGACGTTGTGGCCGGCTGGAATGGTGAGAGGGTTGGTGTCGAGCTGCTGATGCTGCTGCTGTTGAAGTGGCCAGAGGTGAGGTTCAAGGCGGTGAAGGTGGATGAGGCGTTGTGGGAATTAAGAAAGAAGAAGGCTGTCAACAGCAGAAATAATTTAGCAATTTGACAAATTGTTAACTTCATTTATGTTGCGTGTTTTTCTTGTTGCTGTGGCGGTTGTTTTGTTTTTGTTACTAATAGTTCTTGTTGTCCCCTTAGTTCTGTTTGCAATTGTGTTGCCTTTAAGTTTGCTGCTGCAGTTCCCTGCTCGGACCCAGTTGGCGAGTCATCTCTTAGTCGTTTACATTTTGCTTTCGTTGCTGTTGCTGATTATTGTTGTTGTTGCTAGAGATGCTGTTGTTGTTGCTGTTGCTTTTATTCTGGTAGTTGTTAACGAACTTTGCTCGCGCTTTGTTCAATTTTGTCATAATTGCGTTTCTATTGCTGGCAAATTGCAGTTGCCTGGAAATATAAAAGCAAAATAAAAGCTCAACAGAATGAAATGCATTTATCAGTCGTCACAGTGGAAATGTGCTTGAAATTTGTATAGATACCAAAATGTGAGGTCGTAATTTAAATTGAATTGCTCCAGCTATATATATTCTATATACATAGTGTGGGATATGCTGTCTTAATTAACTTAAATGATTGTATGATTGACCTTTATTCATTTAAATCTTAAGGCAAAGTCATACAGAATATAAATAGTCTTAAACTGCTGATGGCATCCAGATATGCTTGAAAAACAATTTATCGATACAGAATTTTCAAGCCCCTAGCTTCTACAGTCTTCAAGCTCGGCAGGTACAAATATACACGTTTTATAGGGTCGGAAAAGCTTCCTTCTATTAGATTACTTGCACAACACCTTTGTTCCCATTTAACCCTATTTTAATGGGCTCAGTTAGAAACTTAGTAACTTCGTGAGTTCATCTGTTATGTATAGCCTTTAACCTGCAGCAAATCAAAATTCTCCTACAGTTTAACGACGCATTTTCCGTTGTTATATTTCTCGTTTCGTCAGCCAGTTCAGGAGTAGCTTCCACAAATGTATTTTTTTCATTAAAATTTGCGCACACAAATTAATTAAATTACAATTTCAAATTAGTTTAAAAGTTCAGATCGGATCCACACACTCACACACTCGCACACACACACACACACACAGATACTCACAGAGGAGTCTGTCGTGCACGCGCTTCCGCTTGCGCGCCGACAGCGCGCATGCTTTGGCCACAGTTGTTGTTGTTTCTGCTGGCTGACAACATTTTCATGCACGTTTAAGCACTCACCCACACATACACATACACACGCACAGTCAGACAGGAAACTCGTAAGCGCAGACACACACACACACACACACACACACACACACACACACACACTCGCATGCACATCCTCAGTGAAATGCGAAGCTCTGCATAATTCAAGGCGCGAATTTGGCTCACAAGGCGCGCGTTGGCAGCTCCGGTTGGTGGCTTTATTTGTTGCTATAAAAAGCGAATTGCCATAAAATTGATTGCGCCTAAATAAATATTTTTTGTATTTTTGTTGTTAGCCCAAAGACACGCGTGTACTTCCCACTCAACTCTTCGACTTTATGTATGTTGGTTGCGCTTCAATTGCTCTGCATTTTAATTCTAAACAATGGTGGTATATTATAATTTTGTGCACAAATATGTAGTATTAATGCAAAATCTTTGCGGTGCAGTTTTCAAATCCATATCTTAAAATTCTTCTATTAAGATTCTTATAAAGGACGCACCAAAGTTATAAATTGATCATTTTGTTGCTAAATATCCCAATTGATAAACGACCAATTTAGACTTAAGGAATATCTCAAAGTCAACTACTATTGTCAGACTTTCGCAATGCTTTGAACATGTATAGCTGTGTGTATCTGTCACGCCCACTTCGCTTGCGCGCCCTAGGCACCTTAAATTTAAAGCGCAAAGTTCAGGCAGTCTTTGTCTATTATTAGAGCCGCTTTTGCCATCACCTCACTTAAAGCCCACCTGTCTCTGTTTGTTTCTGCCTACTTCATGCTTGATTACCTGCGCAACGCATTCGTGCGGCAATATTTCAATTCATCAGCGATGGCGCCAATCTAAACTTTCATTTAGATATTAAATTTGGCTCTCCATTCGTTTGCCGTCTGTTGAATGGTGACTTATGTGCCCTACGCCCTATTGCCATCTTCATTCGATTGCCCGGAAATGATTGATCGTTGTGGCGTATTGCAAATGAGCCAAAATAAATAATCTGCCCCCAAAGGCTGGCACACAAATTGTCGCACAATGAGCATTCCCATGATTAGGGCCAACATGTGTTGTTGTGTGCCCAATTGTCAAAAGTGTTAAGGTTAAACGGGGGCATTTGAACGGAAAAACTCGGTCTTGTTGGCATATAATATGTATGTAAGAGGCTTAAAAGCGTATTGCAAGAAGCCATATGGCAGATAAAGAATGTGCAGATTTCATAATTTGCCATCAATTGGATTAAGTTTCAATTTGCAATAATTTGAATATATGAATTTGAACTCTTATCGATTGGTTAACTTGATAAGCAGCTCTTTGATTTAGTTACAAATGCAAAGCACACAGTGCTTAGATTAAAAAGGAAACATAAGGGTCGAAATGTAATTTTGATATATTTAGTGGTCTGATGTCAACTCTCTTGTTGACCTTTAAGCCTTGCTTTAAATTCAGTCCAAATTTTAATAACTGTGAAGGAACAAGGTAAAGGGCATTTGATATTGCCACGAGCACCTAGTTACTCGGTTAAATGGAAAAGTAAAAGCATTTTCAAGAGTAAAATTGCTTTTAATTTTATAGGATTTTATGAGCAGCGTAATAAACTCGTAACTAGTGGACAGGATTGGGCCAAGGAGCAGTAACTACAATAACAACAACAATTGCGGCCAATAGCCATAAACAACAACTTTGACGGCGCGTCGAGCCACGCTTATATTATATAAATAAACATATTAAAAACTTTCAAGGATGCGAGCAATAAAAGCAAAAAACAAAACGAGATAGCTTTAGTCGGGCATACATGGCTATCAGGTACACTGAGCATTCTTCTAGCATCCAGCCTGTTTGTGCCCATTTTCCCCATTTCCCATGGATATAATAAAAGAGAAAAATTGGATAACATCACACATACATACAAACATACCTGCATACATACAATACAAAACGATAATTATAATAATAATAATTCATATTAAAAAACACACGTTTTCTTTAATAATTTCTGTTTTTCTTAAAACAACCCTAAAATGGTTGCTATAGTTGTAAAAAATGATTTGTGTATCTATACGAGAAGCTGCATGCCAAATATGCTCAAATACGTGATTTCGTTATCGATTGTTATTTACACAAAACTAATATACCCTTTTTATCCATTTTATAATGGGTTTTGTATATAGAAACAAATACGAGTACGCAACCGGGGTTAACTGGGCAGGCTCCGAGCTTTTTTAGTGTACTTGATACTGTCCTCTCATTTACACTAACACACATATGTATGCGCACACTTATGTCCTCATGGGTCTTTGGTAGGTTCTTAACACGCGGTCGTTGTCAGCTCCCTCTATTTCTCACCCATTCTCTATCGAGCGCCATATTTAAGTTCATTTATTTTATTTAACTCAATTTTTTGCTCGTGCCCATTTTTATACCCGTTCGTAAGATCAAAAGAGTATACTGGATGTGTGTTATGTTCTCCAGGCTGGCCGGTTGGTCGTTCGGTGGTATGCCCAAGATATTTGTGAAGAGCTTATATCCACTTGGACTGTTTCACATCTCGCAAATCTATATAATCTATAGAGTGTTAGAGGTAGGGTGACGAAATTTGGATTGAGGACTGGGATTAAGATCGATCTACAGATCGATAAGACTTAATAAATTTGTCGGTTAGCGGACCTAAAGCTTTTGTTGAAATGTGAACGTGCATTGCGTAGTCGTTTGCACTCGATTGCAACATTCTTACATGCTTAGTTTGTGTTTTTGCGCTTGTGTAGCGATACATGCGTGCGGATTTACTCTTGCTTGACGGCTTCGGCCTCGTTGGCGTATACATAATATTGTTGGAAAGCGGCAGTTTGCTTGTAAAATTATAACCACTTGTTCTCTCGCTTATTTACATACATATTGACACACAGCAAACGGCAGTTAGTGTGCATGTAAGTGTTTGTGGGTCTATCTGGAGCATCTTTAATACGCAAGCGTATGCAGCGAGGCCTCACATGCTCGGGGTCTGAGTTCAGCAGCATCTTCAAAACTAACAATGTATGGTAAGTGGTGGCCGGTGCCAGCAGCTGCCACTCAGACCCGGTTTTATCAAGGGCCTGTTAGGTGTCTCTGAGTAGCCAAGTGGGGGAGTTGTGTGTGTTTGTGTTTTATTTGCCATATGGCATGCTATGAACGGCATAAAGATATGAGCGGTTTTTGTAAGCATTTCAGCTGCCGGATTAAGATCTCAAGAGTGGTTTCATATAGTTATCGAGCTACTATCGTATATATGCTTGAGTGCACACATGTCTAAGGAATATTTTAAAATTTAATTGAACGGAATTTTTTAAAAGGTATATCAAAACAGCCTTTAGCATGTATTTCACATACTTGTAGTGTAGTCATTTGCTACACTAGACTTATCATAATCTGTATATATTATTATATAAGTATTGGAGCTTAAATAATATAAATTGAATTCCTGAATGCCTTACTCACGTAATACACATAAGAAAAAAGAGGATACTCTAAAAAGCATCATATTAAAACATTTAATGTTTACCTTCGCCCTTCTGAAATCTTTATCTAGTTATAAATGATTGATTAGACCTATATAGGAGGTATCATCCAGTCGAGCACTTTTCATTTGGTTCATGTGTCGTTTTCTTTTGAAATGTGCGAGTATCTTTGCGGGCGTTGGCAGCAGGTGTAATAACGCAATTACATGGTTGCCCTGGTTACCTTGACAAATGATTGGATGTGTTTTTTCTTCTTGGTTGCTGCCGCATAAATTGCTATATGTTGTCGTTATGGTGAGCCAAGAAGCATGTTGTTGAGTGACTAAGCCTCCTCAAGGCTGTGTACTAATTGAGCTCAACTCGAAACATTTCACAACAACGCAGCTTGGGC